CTGAGCTAAATCCCCAGCCCCTTTAATGGCTTTTGATTCTTTTCTTTTCTTTGTATTTTTGGAAACAGTCTCCTCGAAAATACCAGTTCCATTTTTTTTGCTCCTGTCTTTGCAATTTTTATCTGTCTCTTGTTGCCATATTTGTTCCATCTGCCCAAGGAATCATTTCTGGATCACTATTTCTACCAGTTGGAATTAGGAACCATCCTTCCAAAGCAATTTGAGCATATCTTTGTTCTGTTATGTATCGCACAATATTAATTTGTTTCTCTTCCTTGAGAGGAACCTTTTGTCTTCCTCTAAAGAAGAAAAATATTTTGTCTTCCCCCGTGCTTGTGATTTACATAGGAAGTCCTCATACAATGGGATTTTGAAAATGCTGGGGAAAAGAAATAAGGCTTTGCCAGTAAAAGAAACAAAAAGGCGGGCAATTGGAACAACTCTGTAGAAAGAAATATGAAAATAGAGTGAGAATGAACCTAAATGAATATAAAAGCATACCTATCTATGGCTGAGCTGTTTTTTGTCTATAAAGAATGGTAACCATCACCCAAATTTATAATTCTATATGAACCCTGAGTCCTTCCTTCTCTTAAGACTACTCCAATGTCTATCTCTCTATCTCTCTCTTGTCTCTATCTCTAAATCTCTGTCTCTGTCTCTACCTACCAATCCATCTATCTACCTGCATCTACAAGTAATAGTTACACAGATGAGACTAGGTAGCAGTAATCTTCCTCAGCAACAGTAGCAACAAAATGGAGGACTGGCTCAAAATGTTGCTAACAATGTGCATAAATTAAGATGTAAGAGGCTCTCAGATGCTAAGCTACTGCTGCAACTGGTCTCTTCTTTGACTTGGTAGAATATTTTCACTTTTCTGCATAGATTAATCACTAAGGAGTTTCCAAAGTCTGCACATAAATTACTTTCTCTTTAATATAATATTTTAATAAGTTGGGATGCCAGCCAAGCATTCTTTCACTATGTCAAGATATATGACTCTATGGACGTGAAAAGACATGTCAACTTATTAAGCAAAGGAATCTTGAAATGAAGGAAATCACCCCATTTTTGCTGATTTTAACTGCAACCTTCACCTTGATAACTAGTCAGGAAGTGAGCCCATAGTGTTTTTGTCTGATCACTAACAAAGGAAATTTGAATGAAATTGCAGATAATGTGTGCGTCCTCTTAATTAGAATGATTTCAGTGTCACTGAGAATGAACTCCCTTAGGTTAGCAGATGAAGATGAATGAGGTTTCTCAAACAATTCGTATTTTAATGTAATTTATATTTTCAAGAATGGTGCTGGTTCTTGACTCTGATCTAATATATTACTAGCTGTCCTAGCTTTTTGTTACTTAGGAACTGTACATTGTCATATCTTCAGGAATTAGATAATGATAATAACACTTAGATGTTCTTCTGGAAGGATTAGTAGAGGCCATGTAACTTACTTTTGCATTCGTGTATGCTTTGTACTTTGAGGAAAACCCCTTCAAGCTCAGTTAGCCTTTTCCTTAAGAAAGTGAGTGGTAATTATCTAAAGTGATCTGTTTTGTAAAATCCTTATTGTTATGATACAAGTATATATGAGGAGTCTACAGCTCTACTTAGCAAGAGACCTGTTTGTTTTTGTATAGGCTTAGGCCATAGCCACTGTCATGCTGTGATTCAAGTCCACAAGATGATGCTCTTATATGATCCAAAATTCAAGTAAGATTCCAACCACGTGCTGCTCTAGCCACAGCTGTTACTGAGTATCAAAAACATGCCGTGTTCCTTATGATGCAGACGAATGATTCACAGGCTTTTACCCCAAGAAGGCTATAATGTAGCATGAAAGGGAAATGTGTACGAAATCACCTAGAAAATGCACTCAGAAATATATATGTATAGTTTATATTAAATATATATATTTAAAGATACATTTAAAATGTAATGATTCCTTGTGTCTGAGAGAGACTCGAAATATATTACACAGAAAATTTTTTGCATCTAGGCCTTGAAATTTGAGTAAAAGTGATCAAAATAGTGAAAGAAAGAAGTAGTCCAAGTTTGGGTAACTGTTACTATTAAAACACTGTGAGTTATAAGTTTTAGAAGATAAGATTTTAAACTTTAAACTTTTCCCTTTAAAGGGAAATTTATACAGGCTATATAAATTCAAAATTAAAAATAATGACAAAGATTTAGCAGTCCTGATAAACTGAATACTTAAAAATGGAGAAACATCAAAGCAATGTACGTTCTGATCATCAAAGATTTAAGTGACTGAAAATAGCCAATACAGGTGAGATGGCTTAAACAGTAAAGCAATTTTTTCCTTCACTTTTACTGGACTATAAATTGATATATTGGAAGACATTTGCTTATTCTAATTTATTCAATTTTAAAAACTTTCTCCTTTAGTCTATAAGTTCTAGGTATTTATTCTACAAAATCATTTAAATATAAACAAATATGAACATGAACACACACACACAGGAGTGTGTACCCACATATCTAAAGAAATGAAAGTTTTATTGTAATATTGTTTACAATTAACCTGATAATATCAAAAGAAATTCTAGAGACCTTAGTTGAGAGATTTTACAGATAGAAAAAAACCCTACAATTCAAAGCAAATAAAGATGGATCCCACCATTGAGAGATAATACTAGTAGCTATGGCATGCAGTCATTTTAGTCTTGATGATCCTGTTCACGATCCTTGATGTGATCCCTTGGGCTTTATGGAATGTATCTTATATTCTGAGAAACACTGTGTAGAATTGATATTTCTTTTTACATACTTTCTGGAACCTACTGATGAAGTCATCTGGGCCTAAGATTTTTTGGAGGGCAGAACTCAGTGTTTACAAATTAATTTCTTCAATAATTATAGAACTATTAAGATTATTCACTTATTGTGGCTAAGAATTGCCAAATTGTGTGTTTTGAGGAAATGCTGGATTAAACCTATTGAATGATATTTAGAATTATTTGGAATATTCTTGGAATATTATTTACTATAATTTTAATGTGTATGAAATCTGTAATGATATTCTCTTCTTTCATTTCCTATGTAAGTTTTTAATTTTTATTGTCAGTCTTACAATAGACTGGCCAATTTCATTTATCTTTCAAGGAAAACAACACAGATTTGGTTTCACCATTTTTTATGTATTATTCTTCTGTTTTCCATTTCATCATTTCTGGTCTGATTTCCTAACTTCTACTCCTTTAGATTTATTTTCTCTTTTTTCTAAGTTTCTTATTTTAGAAGCTTATATTATAGAATTGAGACTTTTCTTCTTTTCCAAGACACTTTAGCATTTTACTGTGATAAATTTCCCATTAGAGGCTGGTTTAGCTGATTCTAGTAAGTACTGATATATTGCATTTTCAATTCCGTTCAGTTTAAACTATTTCTGATTCCCCTAAGACTTTGCCTTTGGCCCACTGGTGTTTAGAAGCATGTATTTTTAATATTTTTGGAATTTCCAGTGTGTGTATATTTTCTGTTATCTATCCATGGTGACTTAAAGTTTGTTTTAGTTATGGCTAGAAGGCATAGTTTGTATGATTTCAATTTCTTAATGTGTTAAGTTTTGTTTCATGAATCAATGTGTGG